GCATTCAGACGACCTTTTCATGAGAATATTCCTTCAAAACAGGGGGTACAATATGTTTAACCTATCATTCAGAAACCCCCCACCAACAGAAATGAATTTAAATTGGGACCACCACCCTCCAGAATACAATTATGTTGATAACCTTCCACCTATTGACCAAAATATCGTCGGCGTTCCGCCCCTCCTATTTGAATTTTAATTGAATAGCCCTAAGATAAGGCCTGTACCAAATCTCTAAATTTGTTACAAGTAAAATTCATTTATTTTGTTACAAGAATTATGGTAACGCTCTTGTAGAAATGAGTTTTTGATACGTCCATCAACGAAATAAGGACATTAAGAAATCACGTTGTCTGTCTCACCTGTCCGATCATATCTTGATTTACTGAGATTAACTTCAAATGCGATCCAACGTTTTGACGTGCCTAAGATGTAAATAAGTGGTAATGTATATTGTGCTTGTATGCTTCTTGTTTATACTTTTTTTCCATTTTACTAATACAACTATTGTAGTCAACAGTTTCCCTAAAAGCAGGTTTTAAATTAATAACATTGGCAGAACGGCTTTATCTAAAGTAGAATAAAAGATACATACTATGACAAACGAGACGATTTTAATTTTGAAATTATCAATTTCCCCCACTGCTGTACTTCTACTTTTGACATTTTTACCTATTATGTCTGTTTGTTTTGTTCACACTTTTTATCAATATAATGGAATTTTTATGCAACTATCATACAAGTGAGAGGTTAAGCTAGCTATAAAACCAGGTTTAATGCACCATTTTCTTCATAAAAAAATGCCTGTACCAAGTCAGGAATATGACAGTTGTTTTCCATTCGTTTGATGTGTTTGAGCTTTTGATTTTGCCATTTTATAAGGGTCTTTCCGATTTGAATTTTCGTTGGAGTTCGGTATTTTCGTTAATTTACTTTTTTTTCGCATTTGTTGAGAAATAAAATGAGCACGTTATAATAAGATATAATTCCATCCAAGTATTTATTTGTTAGTAAGCGTGTGTAAGATTCAAATCAACGCTTTTCGTCAGTTCAATTTGGGTACTGTGACGTTATATGCATCAATTGCATAACGATTTATTCATTAGTTGTTAAAAATACATGTAATTATATTGACATTTTTGTCATTGTTACGCTAAATGTGTATAACCAAGTAATAGAAAACATGGAAATAGCACATTGTTACAAGAAAACCTCGAAATCTGTGATTGGTCAAAAGAAATTATACCTTGAGATCACTGAAATGAAAACATGAATTAAGAATGTGTTACTTATCGTTCAAATACAAGACGCAATATTTCAAATTAACATATTCCAAGTATTTCAAAAAAATGTTTTAACGTTATAAAATAAAGTGATTTCCTTTTTCTTTGGTAAAGTGTTACACTGAGTACAAAAATTGCACCCAATAGCAAAAATAGCAGCAGCAATCTTACAAGTTTTTTTAGAAACTTAACAATTTGTATTTTTTATGATTTGACATTATGCACGTTTTTCGACATAGCTAAATACATTTAAATATACACAAAACGTTCACAGTGTATATCAACAGAAAAAGTATCCACTGGAAAAGGTAAAATCTACTGAAAATTCGCGCTACGACGTCCACAAAATGTCAACTTGAGCAACTCAAATATGTGACAGGCATCCATTTCTTCTTGCTCGAAGGGTAGGCATTTCTTGCACCACATGTGGAACCCATCGTGTTGCTCATGTAAGTACAAACCCATTGATAAGTCTTATTCTGTAGGTCTCATTCTGTAAAAAGAAGATGGGATAATGGTTACGAGAATCGAAACATATCATCGTCATATGAGAAACAAATGTTCAATGACGATCAACCAACTCTTCAGTAACGATTTCAACTTCAACACTTAGAACTCTTGATTGAATAGCTACCTTGTAAGAAACAACTCTCTATCAAGGACATTATGATGGGAAATGCAAACTCTCGAATATTGTATCTACTGGAAGATTTATATCCATATGTTAATTTGTAAATGTTTATCAATTTTCCCACAGGATATAACTATGCCCTTGGAAAAAAAGCAGCACAGAGTTCAACATTGCATTCAAAATATGCTGCTTCAAAAGCAGTTGATGGAAAGGAAAGCACGTTTACACACACAAAGAACGAAAACAATGCATATTGGAGTGTTGATTTGGGAAAAACAGTTAATGTGAAACAGATCAATATTATTAACAGAAAAAATTGCTGTGGTAAGGAGTCAGAAACATATATTTGTGATAAGATTCAAAATAATTTCGCGTGAGTTAGGTAAGAGTGTTTACTTTTGAACTTTTTAAAAGCAACACTATTTTAGACATTTCTATATATGACAATAGGTAAATCATCAAACTATTATCTTAATTGATGTTTAGTACTTTTTATGATCTTCAGAAAAAATCTTAACATTATATCATTTAATAATGAAGTGTTGATTCATCGAAAATAACACCTTCAAACAAATTAAAACCATTTACAGAAACTTTGACTGTCGAAAGAAGTCAAATGCTATAAAGTGATAAGATGCACATAGATTTTGTCAGGATATTAATAATTAAATACAATACTGTCTTGGAATAACAATTTCCTAACTGAGCCCTTGTGATAACTTTGCTTGGAAAAATAGTCACATTTAATGAAAGTACGATCTATTTTGTTTTTAATGTCACTCTGTCTAATGTCAAGAACAAAGAAACTAAAAAAGACTGAAATTTGAAAAGCGGTTTCATTGGCTAATAAAGGTGTCAGACCACCAATGTAAAATCTCTATCTATTCAATCAAATTTTCCAATTTTAACAGCTTTTTAGATATTTTACCTTAAATTTAACTTCATAGAAAGCAGGTATATCCTGAATTGTATCAACATTCTACATGCCAATGTTTAACCAATGTTTAAAGTCTTGTAATGAAATACTACTGTTTGGAAATCAAGTACTACTAAAAATAACTCCTGGTTTTCTGGAAATCTTAGATATAAATAAGAAGATGTGTGTATACTAGGGAGCGCATTAATCCTCAATTTTTAATGCAAACTCATGGAGAAGTATATTTTTGCTCAAAATGGTCTACATATATTTTTCTTTCACTAAAAGTTTCATTTCTGCAAGTTTGTTGATTAGTTTAAGTAAACAATGACATTATAAGCACTTTTTTTGTCAGGGAAGGGCTACTTTCACATATGTTTCAAATTGAAGTGAATGTATTGGTGGTCTTGACACCTATATGGAATAACAACCTTTCTTCGATATGGGGTCATATATTTTAAATGAATGAAGAGGACGATACATGTTGATTTTCAGGTCATTTGATCGACAATGAAGGTCATTCGTGCTAAGAATTGATTTCCATAACCAGATATTACTGTCTTAAATGATATTTAATATGGAGGAGAGGGGTATTAGAGCTAGCTCACTAACATTTCTCTAAAATGTTATTTGTACGCGTCCTAAATACGCCTGAAATATTCTCCACCGGATGTTAAATAACCAACTATAAATCAACCAATGAACAGTCATAATAAGGCTTCTCTGAAAGTTCTTGACTTTTCAGTTGTTTCATAAAAAGAAACATGGATAGAGAACTGTAAAAAAATCGTATTTTTTATTTGTGAAAGTACTCCCTTCTGTTAAGGGAGAGAGGCATATTTGGTTCTTAAACTCCATGTTATTCATTTCAGCAATTCAAGTATAAATTTGATGAGAGAAAAAATGTAAAATCTCTCATGAATAGAAATTTTACAAGTTCTGACATTTAACAACAGCAATGATGTCATATATGACGACACAAATGAGCAATCGTACGATGAAACTCATAGTTTTGACTAAATTTTGGAAAATATTTGCAGATTTTGCATGAACCACCGTAATTATCTGGTAGGATGTGTGTCTTGTCAATTTCCATATTTTTATGACCAATTTATTTTTTGTGGACGTGTGTGGTCAGTGTTTTTCAACAGGAAATAGACCTTTAATGTGAGTTAAACGGGGGAAAAGATTGTTAAGATTTGATATCACAGTCTTATTTAAAGCTAAGTTTGGCCCTTTCGTTGCCCTTCCTCTTTAAAGAAGTCATGAAAAGTTTTATTTCTTTTGGTCAAAAACAGACATTAACCGCACTATTGCTTTTTTTAAATAGAGCAAAAGACTTTATTCTAATGGGATCGTTCTTCTTGATAAAGACTTCTATTTTTTTTTTTAAATTGTAAAATTGTCTGCTTTGTTTTCAGCCTTCATAATGAATAATGTACCTGTGCAGTCAAGAATCGTATTTATTTTTCAAATAAAACAAAGGAAAAATCAACTATATCATAACCTGGTAATCGAATACAGCTTTTTTAGAATCTGGAATTAATCTTCCTGTTGATGATCAATGAGACAAATATACTTTAGGAAAAATTTAAAAAAAATTGGTTTTGAAGTAAAATGTGTTCGATACTGAAATGTGTGTCATTACAAGGAGTGTACTAAAAGAGGGACGAAAGATACCAGAGGGACAGTCAAACTCATAGATCGAAAACAAACTGACAACGCCATGGCCAAAAATAAAAAGACAAACAGACAAATAATAGTACAGATAACACAACATAGAAAACTAAAGACTAAGCAACACGAACCCCACCAAAAACTGGGGGTGATCTCAGGTGCTCCGGAAGGGTAAGCAGATCCTGCTCCACATGTGGCACCCGTCGTGTTGCTTATGTTACTAGCTATATTGAATACAATCGGTGATATGATGATTGGCACTGACAGATTGAAGTCTTAGAATTCCATTTTTGAACAATTGATATAGATTCTTGATATTGATAATTTTCAGGTAATCGGCTGAAGAATATAGCGGTTACAGTTGGACAAAATCGTCATCAGATGAAACTTTGTAGTAATTTCAAAGGACCTGGTAAGACTGGACAAGTAATAATGTTAACATGCAAGAGCCCAATCTCAGGCCGCCATGTGAAACTTTTGAGAAGCGGTAAAGGTTATCTCAGTTTAGCAGAAGTTCAAGTGATAGGCCATACAGGTAAACATTTAGATGTTTTTTTTTTTTAAACTAGCTTCTTTCTGGTTGTATGTTTGTATTGAATTTCGTTTCTATCGAAAAACTGTCAGTTAAACAAAAAACAGAAAATCCTATAACTTTACTGTTGAATTTTTTTATAAAAAAAAAAATACGTCTGTAGATTATAAGCTAAATATTGATCTTTGCATCGTTGAATAGTTTAATGTATAAACAATATCAATAAGCAGATGTGGTATGATTGTCAAAGAACCAATTTTTCCGCGACAGACCAAAGGACATACAGATGGGTAAAGTCCTTACCTGATCATCTAGTTAACTTGATGACCAGACTTTATGACTGGTGGAAGTTAACTTGGGACAGGAAAAAACAGACATTTAGCGGTTACAGGATTTATGACTGCTCCGATCGGTTCTAGGACAGAATTCATAATAACTTAAAAAGAAGACTTGATCTGGACTGCTCTGTCGAACCAGACCTGTTCTTATAAAAGTTAACTTTGGTCTGGTCTGCTCCAAGATAAAGTTAACATGATATAAAGTTAACTAGTAAACAGGACTGCTTTGATTGATGAATATCATTTAAATATCATCACACTCATGTATCAACAAATTTAGTAAAAGAAATATATCCATAGGACCGATCAAAAAGCAGACCTGACCCATAACTGGTCTGTCAAATAGCAGACTTGTCCACAGGATAGGTTAACAGATCTGATCTGGTCATGTTGTCCTGTCCACAGGTCTGGTCAAACTGACCTGTTCGCAAGTCTGCTCTGGTCTGCAGCAGTCCCAAAAATGTAGACGTAGGTCTGTTGTGGTAAGGATAACGTTAAATTGCAGGTCTGCTAAAATTTTCTAAAGTTAACTTCAGGTGGATCAACACTAAATATTTCTTGAGATAGATTTTTTTTTATATTTTGTGTAAATGCAGTTGATGAAATGCTCTTGTGAAAAAAACAATAAGAATTTGGGGTCACCGTCCTCGTTTGGACAGTATCTTGATCCAAATTATTGTGTATTTTCGAGGTTTTTTACATAGATATTACAGGGAAATGGGCAATTGTATCCTTTTGCTAGTTGAGAAAAAAATTCTATGAGATAGATTTTTCTTATTTTCTTTAAAATTGTAGCCAAGATATAGATCTAAAAGAAAATAATAAAAAAACATAGGGTCACCTTGCATTTTGAAGAAATATTTCACCTTCTGCTTGATTTTTTCGAATTTTCAAGAAGGAGAGATAACTCTCCCCAAATTTTCATTGAAAAAGATAGTAAGAAATACTCATGATAAATAGAAATAGAATAGGTCAACTCTCAGTCCTTATTATTATTTGCAACACTTTTGTGTAACATATTTCTGTTACAAAAATCATGGCCATAGTAACCAAGGATATCACCATAGCAACCAAATCAATCAATCAATAAATGCACTTGGAAATTATAAAACTGAAGAGAAACATGTAAATTTGAGCACGTTTATGTAGTCCGATAAGTCAGTATTGCCATAAATGATTTCACAATCTTTACGCACAGTGCAAAATTCTATTGAAGAAAGGCTCCATGAGTTATTTTGAGATATCTCGACCAAAATTTGTGTAAAAAACATTTTTTTTAATACAAAATTACAAATTTTGAGAAACATTTTTTTGTGCTTGAATTTCAACCGAATTGATATACAAGTTACAAAATGTTATAAAAATTTGATTTTCCACAGCAAAAAATAATTTGATCTTGTAAATTTTCCGTCTCAGTTTTTTTTTTAAATCACAAATTTAATGCTTTTAATAAAAATTGACGTACAGGTAGAATAAGATATTCCAAATCATATCCAGGTGTAAAACAACCTTTCTGACCCCGTCAACTGGACTTGCTACGTATGTATTAGTCTCTTCACGTCTCATATAAATGTGCAAGTGGTTCTCTAGTTGTCATCTCCTTACCTTTTTTCATGTCAGTCTTCTTATGTTATGTTTCTATATTTTTGAATAATCTTAAATTAATAATCTTAAACACCACAGAGACTGTGACTTAACACACACATATACATATATATATAATTCGTCTAAACATTAACCCAACAATGTTGGATCTGTAAATTTGCTTTCGCAAATGTTTTGTTCTTCCCTCGCTGGTATTCGAACTCATGCTACTGAGATATCGTGGCACCAAATCGCCTTGCACTATGCCCAACGCGCTAGACCACTCGACCACCTAGGCTCTACAATAATAAAGCTTTGGGTGGCCGAGTGTTATCTTTCCTCGTCAGTTTTAATCTAGCGTCGTAACACAGTACATAATATATAATGCATGAAGATGGAATTGTTACAGATCATCTGAATTATCTATATATATTTTAATTCGACAAACTGGTTCTCAATAAGTTTTGTTGTTAAAATATACCAAGGTTAACATTTCAAATTTTGAAATGTTAAACCACACAAAAACAAAAAAATTATCGACAAAAATTCAATGTCATGACATTTTTAGAACTTCTAAAAATATGAACGTGTAGGCCAAAATATAGATATTTAAGTCATAATTTACTTTTTGTTCTTCTTTAGACAAAAAGTCGGCACATCAGTATAAAATTTAACCGTAGAATTCAAACAACTCTTCATTAGAGACAAAATGGTGTAGAAGTGAGCAACTATAGGTCACCGTACGGCCTTCAACCTGATACTTTTTTGTAAAATAACAAAATATCATGACGATATATCAAACTCTAAATAACTATCATAGGGGGGGTTTATACATATACTAATTCCTCATCCTTTATATGTCTATTAGTTAAATATTAAAGCACATTCACTATGTAACCATTGTTGAGAACATATTATTCTAATTGATCCATTTGAACGAAAGAAATTTCAAATAAAAATATTTTATAAAATATTATGTTTCAAATTAGGTGTTAAGCAAGCCACAATTAATCAATATACAAAGTGAAAATTGTATGTATATAATATTCTCCCCTTTCTTGTATGATCTTAAAGAAAAGAACAATATTTGCAAAAATGAAAACCCAATCATCTTAAAATATTATAGATCTCTGGTTACCTTATGTTTATAAAAAGGAGTTAGCAAGTTACGACAGATCTTCATTTTGACAATACTGAGGAAAAACTTATTTAGGGCATGAAACATAGTGTTAATACCAAAAACATGTCTTCTAGATGTCTGTTTGGGGTTTTGTTGTTTGCTTGCTGTCTCATTGATGTATACCCCCTGCATCTCCTTTTATTCATAACTGTCCCGTATTAAGATATGCCTGTTCACTACAAGACACACCCCTAAACGTAACATAGTAAAGTGAGTTTATGATTTAGTAACTTTTAACAAACACGTAAAATAAAACTAACGCATCAGCGTTTCAATGGTTTAATTAGATGACTTATATTTTATCTCTTTCGTTCAAATTATGGGAAGACCTTACAAAATTTAAAACATGGAGATCTTTATGCCAGTAGTTCTTTTATTTGCTATCAAATTTTCTTCTTTGCTATTCAATGATCATAATTATTTTATAAATTCCATTCTTACATCCCAACTTTGTCGATCTAAATTAAAATTATATATGTCCATTTCATAATAACCGAAAGAACTTGTATTAAGTTGGCAAAATCATGTAATTCCATTTTGAGGCTATAACAAAAAAAAGCCTAGATTCTTATCCCTATGCATCTGATATTTGGCTATATTCTTTCTTTTTGGTAACAGTTTTCAACCCACAAAATTGATGAAAAGTTAAATTGAAAGCCGAAAAAAAGTCAATTTGTAGGGCATGGTTCTTTGAAATATCCAAACAGTTAAGGATGTATTCTTCTGACGTTTCAGTCTCGTTGAAATCTCGTTCTGGAATTATTTCCAAAACATGTGATACAAGTGGAAAATATCAATGAATTTAAAAAATGTTATAATCAAACTTAACTCTGTAAAAAAATTGTGAATTTACAATGAATTATTATAGTTTTTGAGTAATCAATTTTTAAAATTTTATTACCAATCAAGTCAGTCTTTTTAGCCAACATTTTGAGAAAATGGGTGAGGGGTACAAGAAATGATTTTACCTAAAACATGTACATCCCATATCACTTTTTTTCTTTTCAAATTTCTTAGATATGTATTTTTTCAATCATTTAAAACAAAGAAGTCGAAATAATATGCATTTTGTTCTTTAAGCAGAGAAAAATCACAAATTTACAAAATTGACAGCATGGTAAATTTGACACAAAAAAGCATCAAAATATGATAAAACTTTCTTATATCAACACCTACCTTTAGTTCTTTAAGTTAAATTTATTCAGATTGATCCACTTCATCTTTATTGAAAGTATGAAAAAAAGTTTAATTGTGAAACTGTGATTTTTTTCACGAAAATAGCCCAAAAATAGGTAAACATTGATGAAAAATGGGAAAATCATCAAAATTGGGTACTTTCAAAAGGCCGTAGCAAAAAAAAGAAGTGCACCACCATATGATTTTTTTTTACAGTCATAGAAACCCAAAAATCAGGTTTAGAAAAAAAGTTTAATTCTAGAAATTTTTGGCTCCTCAGGGGTGTACATCCAAAATGTTCTCCTCGCTGTCGACTGACAAGACGGATGAAATCTAAAATAATGGCGAAGTAAGAATAATTGAACTTTACTGAAAATAATAATACTTATATGGGATTGATGGCATACGTGAACGTGAACATATTACATGTTACATCACAAAAATGATAAAAAAAAAGGAAAGAATTATTGTGCAGCCAATCTATTAATTCATGGCATATTGTTTAGTTGCTTGTGTAATGATTTTGATACGACGTTCAATTAATGAAGATATAAAATTGTAGAATACGATACTATTCAAGACTTCGACACTTCACTTCTGAGTTTTTACTACAAAAGAGTAGATATCTTTTTTTTTTAAGTATTTTGTTTCTATAATAAAACCTTCTTTAAGTTAAATATATTTCAGCAAATATCAAATATATTTCAGGAAATCAGACTTTGATA